TTTTCATTTTTTCAGCACACAGTTTTTTTCATTTGTTTTGTTTTGTTTTGTTTTGTTTGAGACAGGATCTCACTTGGTTGCCCAGGCTGGAGTGCAGTGGTGCAATCATGGCTCACTGTAGTCTTGATGTCCCAGGCTCGAGTGAGCCTCCGGCCTTGGCCTCCCAAAGTGCTGAGATTACAGATGTAGCCATCACCCCCAGCTTGCACACAGTTTTTGAGCTCTTACTCTGTGCCAAGCACCAAGCTGGGTACAAGGATCCAAAATGAATGACACTTGGTCCATGTCCCCAAGGACCACCCAGTCGGTCAGGGAGAACAGACAACCAAACAAGCCATTTCCATGCCATGTTGTCTATGTCACCATGATGGAAGTCTGTACCCACAGGCGGACTGCTAGGCCAGGATGGGCTGGGCAGAGCGCCCCAAGGGAGTGGACTACTCTCTAAAGCATTTGGCCACTGTGGCCAGTAGAGGGCGTGAGAGGGAGTGACCACTCAGCAGGGGTCAGGTTTAGAGGGGCCCCGTATGCCCTTCTTTCCTGGGGAGGATGTAGGATTTAATCTCTTGGGCCTCTGGGGAAGCCAGGACAGCTTTTGCAACATTTTTGGCAATATTCTCTGCCAGCTGTTAATTTCAGAATTTTTCCTGAGGGCATGTGTGAGCCAGTTGTTTCAGGACTCGGACCTTTCTTACAGACAATTTTAAAGATTTTCTTGAGAATTTACTATGTGTAAGAGAAATAGTAATAGCATGAAATAGACTTTGTCCCCAGAGGTTCCCAGCTCACCATTCAGAGGCAAAAGGAGACGGGAAGGCAGGGACTAGGCAGAGGGGTTGAGACCAGAGATTCACAACCAAAGGACAGTTTTGCCTCCCATGGGACATTTGTCAATGTCTGGAGATGTTTTGTTGTCCCAGCTGATGGAGGTAGAAGCTACTGGTATCAAACAGGCAGAGGTCAAGGGTGTTGCTCTACATAGTATAATGCACAGGACAGCCCCCACCACAAAGAATTTTCCAGCCCTAAATGTCAGTAGTGCCATGGTTGAGAAATCCTGGGTTAAGAACAAGGCATGGGCATCAGAAAGATAGCCATAGTACTGCTATGTATTTGTTTGAGTCGTCGTTTTTAATTCTTATGGGATATACCTTGGAGTGAGATTGCTGGATCATATGATAATTCTATGTTCAACTTTTTAAGGTACCACCAAACTCTTTTCCACAACAGCTCCACCATTTTAAATTCCTACTGGCAATGGTTAAGAGTTCCAACTTCTGTACCTCTTCACCAACACTTGTTATTCTCTCTGTCTCTCTCTTTTGGGTTATAGCCATCCTAGTGCATGTGAAGTGGTATCTCACTGTGATTATATGATTTGCATTTTCCTGACACCTAAGCATGTCGAATATCTTTTCATCTATTTATTGACCATTTGTATATCTTCATTGGAGCAACGTCTATCCAAGTCCTCTGTCCACTTAAAAATTGGGTTGTTTGTCTTTTTGTTGTTGAGTTTTAGGAATTCTTTATATATTCTGGACACTAGACTCTTATTAGATGTATGGTTTGCAAATGCTCCTCCCATTTGGTAGGTTATCTTTTCACTTTCTTGATAGCATCCTATGATTCACGAAAGTTTTTAATCTTGATGAAGTCCAATTTACCTATTTTTTCTTATGTTGCTCATACTTGTGGTGTCATATCTAAGAACTGATTGCCAAATCCAAAGTCATGAAGATTTACTCCTATGTTTTCTTCTAAGAGGTTTATGGTTTTAGCTTTTATATTTAGGTCTTTGATCCATTTTGAGTTAATGATTTTATGTGGTATGAAGTAGGGGTCCAACTTTATTCTTGTGCGTGTGGAAATCCAGTTGTCCCAGCACCATGTGTTGAAGAGATGATTCTTTCTCCATTGGATGGTCTTCATATCCATGTCAAAAATAGATTGACCATAGATGTATAGGTTTCTATTCCATTGGTCTGTGTGTCTATCTTATGCTAAATACCATGCTGTTTTGTTTATTGTAGCTTTGTAGTAAGTTTTCAAATTGGGAAATGTGAATCCTCAAACTTATTTTTAAGATTGTTTTGGCTGATTGGGGCCTCTTGAAATTCCATATGAATCTGTATATTCCATTGGATAATATGGACATCTTAACAATAAGTCTTCCAATCCATGAGCAAGGTATGTCTTTCCATTTATTTAATTCTTCTTTAATTTCTTTTAGTAATGTTTTGTAGTTTTCAGTGTACAGGTCTTTCACTTCTTTGGTTAAATTTATTTCTAGGTAGGAAACTGTGTGATAGGCAATAATAGAAAAAGGAAAAATTGAAATTAAACATATTTATTTCTAGATGTTTTATTCTTTTGAATGCTATTATAAATGGAATTGTTTTCCTAATTTCCTTTTCAGATTATTTACCACTGGTATATAGAAACACAACTATTTTTGTGTATTTACCTTGTATCCTGCAACTTTGCTTAATTATTTTTATTACCTCTACAATACCAAGGTTTTCTGTGTGTGTATTATCTGGCATTTTCTACATATAGGACCATGTAATCTGTGAATAGAGGTGGCTTTACTTCTTCCTTCCTAATTTGGATGTCTTTTATTTCATTTTATTGTCTAATTGCTTTGTCTAGAACTTCCAGTACAGTGTTGAATAGCATTGGTGAAAGTGGGCATCCTTGTCTTATTCCTGGGTAAAGCTATCAGTCTTTCCCCATTGAGTATGATGTTAGCTGTGGATTTTTCATAAATGTACTTTATTATATTGCAATTCCTTTCTGTTCCTAATTTTCTGAATGTTGTTATCATGAAAGAGTGTTGCATTTTGTCAAATGCTTTTCCTGCATCATTTGGGATGATCATGTGGTTTTTTTCTTTGTTCTATTAATGTGGCATGTTACATTGACATTGAGCCACCCTTGACTGACTTTTCTTAAAAAAAAAAAAAAAAAAAAGAAGATTTTGAAAGGAAAAAACCTTTCTGACCCTGTGTACTACCTAGAAAATAGCCTTGGCAACATATCAGTAAATTCTGCTGCTGAAAGTGTGCAAGAAGTACTTGGATTGTTTAGTTCTGGGAAATATTGAGAACTTTTCCACTTCCCTTAAAAACATTGTGTTGAAATTTAAAAAGACAAAGCTTTATGGCTGGGCGCAGTGTCTCACGCCTATAATCCTAGCACTTTGGGAGGCAGAGGAGGGCGGATCATTTGAGGTCAGGAGTTCGACACCAGCCGAGCCAACATGGTGAAACCCCATCTCTACAAAAAATACAAAAATTAGCCTGGCATGGTCATGGGCACCTGTAATCCAAGCTACTAGGGAGGCTGAGGCTCAAGAATCTCTTGAACCCAGGAGGCAGAGGTTGCAGTGGGCCGAGATTACGCCACTGCACTCCCACCTGGGCGACAGAGTGAGATTCTGACTCAAAAAAAAAAGTTTTTTAGATACCAAATTGACCTGCTGAGCTTTGTGGTCCTGCTTTTGTAATGCTTCTAGTATATAATTGTGGCAAAATTGGTTCAGATATTTCAACACATAGACAGAGGTCCCATTAAAAATTTTTTTTTGAAATAGGGTCTCACTGTGTTGTCCAGGCTGGAGTGCAGTGGTGGCATCTTGGCTTACTTCAACCTCCGCCTCCCAGGCTTTTCTTTTCTTTTTGAGACAAAGTCTCACTCTGTTGCCTGGGCTGGAGTGCAGCTGCATGATCTCGGCTCACTGTAACCTCCGCCTCCCACGTTCAAGTGATTTTCATGCCTCAGACTCCCGAGTAGCTGGAATTACAGGCACCCACCACCATGCCCAGCTAATTTTTGTATTTTTAGTAGAGACAGGGTTTCGCCATGTTGGCCAGGCTGGTCTCAAACTGCCAACCTCAGGTGATCTGCCTGTCTCAGCCTCCCAAAGTGCTGGGATTACAGGTATGAGCCACTGCGCTGGGCTCATTTTTAAAACAAGATTTCCTTCGAATAACAATGATCTATTCGTTAGTAGGGCAGAGTTAGGGTGACAGAAAGCGGTGTGGGTTAGAGATTGGAATACCTGAGTTCATTCTTTCAACACACACTTGTAAGCCCTCACTGCATACCAGGCAATAGTCTAGACCCTGGAACCGAAAACACTCCTGAGGCTTGTTGGGCTTCTATGCTAGTTGTAAGCATACCGCACGCTGCGGATGATGGTGCCCTTCCTCCCTCCAGGGCCATGATGATGACTGACTATATGATAATACTACTAGAATGATGATGATGATGACAGAAGCAACAATTCCCTTTCATTTATAAAGTGGAATATAATTAAGAGTCTTTTTTAAAAAAAAATAACAGCTTTGGCTGGGTGCAGTGGGTCACATCTGTAATCCTAGCACTTTAGGAAGCCAAGGACCACTTGAGGTCAGGAGTTAGAGAGCAGCCTGGTCAACATGGTGAAATTCTGTCTCTACAAAAATACAAAAATTAGCCAGGCGTGGTGGTGCATGCCTGTAGCCCAAGCTACTCAGGAGGCTGAGGCAGGAGAATTGCTTGAACCCAGGAGGCAGAGATTGCAGCACTGCACTCCAGCCTAGGCAGCAAAGCGAGACTCCATCTCAAAACAAAAAAACAAAAAAGCCCAGCTGTTTTGAGAGATAAGTCACATGGCATACAATCCACTCATGTAAAGGACAAGTCAATGTTTTTTAACTGTATTCATAGAGTTGTACAACCATCACCTCAATCTGCTTTAGAACATTTTCCTCATCCCAAACAGACACCCTACACCCTGTAGCCATCACCCCCATCCCACTAGGTCCTGGCAACCACTAATCTGTTTTCTGTCTCTCAAGATTGGCCTGTTCTGCACACTTCATATACTTGGAATCGTATAACATGTGACCTTTTGTGATTGGCTTCTTTAACTTAGCAGTTTTTAAGGTTCATCCACATTGTAGCATGTATTGGGCCTTCAATTCTCTTTCTTTCTTCTTCTTTTTTTTTTTGAGATGGACTCTCACTCTCCTGCCCAGGCTGGAGTGCAGTGGCATGATCTCGGCTCACTGCAACCTCCGCCTCCCAGGTTCAAGCGATTCTCCTGCCTCAGCCTCCTGAATAGCTGGGACTACAGGCGCCCGCCACCATGCCTGGCTAATTTTTTGTATTTTTAGTAGACAGGGTTTCACTCTCTTAGCCAGGATGGTCTCGATCTCCTGACCTCATGATCCACCTGCCTCGGCCTCCCAAACTGCTGGGATTACAGGCGTGAGCTAACGTGCCTGGTCTTTTTTTTTTTTGACAGACTGGAGTGTAGTGGTATGATCTCGGCTCACTGCAACCTCTACTTCCCGAGTTCAAGTGATTCTCATGCCTCAGCCTCCCGAATAGCTGCGATTACGCCACCAAGCCTGGCTAATTTTTGTATTTTTAGTAGAGATGGGGTTTCGCTATGTTGCTCAGGCTGGTCTTGAACTCCTGGCCTCAAGCAATCCACCCACCCCAGCCTCCCAAAGTGCTGGGATTACAGGCCTGAGCCACTGTGCCCAGCCAGCCTTCTTTTTATGGCTGAAGAATGTCCCATTGTTTGGATCCACCTGTTTATCCATAGATCGATCGATTCTGTTTCTACAATCATCAGTTAATGAATATTTGGGCTGTTTTCACATTTCTACATTATGAATAATGCTGCCAGAATGAAGTCCCTTAACGTACACTATTACCTCATTTAGTTCTCACTCGCATAAACGTTTATGATGTACATTGAGCAAGTGTTGCTATACCTAAATTAGAGGCAGGAAACTAAGATCCAGAGGGGTGAAGGAATATGTCCAAGCATGTTTCAGGCAGAGCAGGGAGGGGAACCCCATCTCTCCCCTGGTCCTGTGTTTCTGGAATACACAGCACCCCGACAGCCTCCCGCCCCACTAGCTTCTTTAGGAGAGAAATCATTTGATTATGTAATTCCTAAAATGTCTCTCCTTTTCTCCTTACAGATTTTCTGAATGGTCTTGCTTCTTTGTCTATCTTGTCTGATTTTCTCCTGTCTGACCTTTTCCTGGTTAAAAATCTGGGGGAAAATGACGGACTCCAAGCCGATCACCAAGAGTACATCAGAAGCAAACTTCATCCTGAGCCAGGAGCCCTTTCCAGCCTCTGACAACTCAGGGGAGACACCGCAGAGAAATGGGGAGGACCACTCTCTGCCCAAGACTCCCAGCCAGGCCGAGCCAGCCTCCCACAAAGGCCCCAAAGATGCTGGTCGGCGGAGAAACTCCCTGCCACCCTCCCACCAGAAGCCCCCAAGAAACCCCCTTTCTTCCAGTGACGCAACACCCTCCCCAGAGCTCCAAGCCAACGGGACCGGGACACAAGGTCTGGAGGCCCCAGATACCAATGGCCTGTCTTCCTCCGCCAGGCCCCAGGGCCAGCAAGCTGGCTCCCCCTCCAAAGAAGACAGGAAGCAGGCAAACATCAAGAGGCAGCTGATGACCAACTTCATCCTGGGCTCTTTTGATGACTACTCCTCCGACGAGGACTCTGTTGCCGGCTCATCTCGTGAGTCTACCAGGAAGGGCAGCCGGGCCAGCTTGGGGGCCCTGTCCCTGGAGGCTGCTCTGACCGCAGGTGAAGCTGAGACCCGTGTCCCCACTATGAGGTAACGTGTCTTTTCTCCTTATAACCAAGGAGTGCAGAGTTCAGGTGGGGTCCACACCCTTCCCAATCTGTGCCCACCTTGGTCAAGCCATTTGCTGATGCCAACACTTCAAGGGTGGCTATGCACAAAAGGAGAAGACACGAGCCTTCTCAGAAGCTTCCTTCCTTCCTTCCTTCCTTCCTTCCT